ATGTTGATGTAAATGACTTAGATGATAATGAGCAAGCTTAAGTTGTGGTGGAGGCTCGAATAAGGGACTCTATCGGCCGTGTTGTGTTCGACCGTACCAGTGGTTATTACGTAGTCGTAGCTCGGCAGAAATCGGTATCTCTTGGGGCAACTCAAGTGGGTGCGCGATGTGCGTTTAACTCTGGCGGAGGTCAGGGTTTGGAAAAACCGTAGTGTGTAGTCAGCGGGTGATCCACACGGGCGATCAATGCGCTGTATGTGCGTGAGCAATGTAATTGCTGATCGGCTAGAGAGCCTTGGCGCGATGGAGACCTATTACTCGGGAGTTTCTGTTACAGTAGAGTTTTAAGAATTGGTTCAAACGACTGTGGTACGTGGCTCAGGCTAACTAATGATTTTTGTACTGTCGATTATTCTCCAATTTTGTAATGTTTGATTAAGTAGAGAGTAAAATTTTGGTTAAAATAAAACTGTAGGGTTCTAAAATTTCTTTAGCATGAGCAATGAATCTAGAGTTTGGTCAGGAGTGACCGAGTGAATAGAATTCTCTTGTGGAATATTTGTCCGCAGGTTAACCACCACACGAGGACGTGTGCAAGCAGGATGGCCGTGTCGCAATTGGAGCCTTATCCGGACGGAAGCGCCATGTAGAGGCACTCGATGGGGGTTGGTTACGCGTGCCGCACGTCGCCTATTCATCACTGTTTACCCGACGATCAGCGTATGCGGTCGTTGCCAAACCATCGCGTGCTCAGCTATACCTATCTACGTACTTGCCACGTTGTAACAATTTCTTTGTTCTATGTTTGTGACAATTACAATACTTTGATTTTGAACCTACGAGTCTATTTTCTTATCCAACACTACCCACCGACACCCACAACAGGAACAATGAGTTCTACTGAGGACGGCAATCCACCATTGCCGATATATATTTCATATGATATTAATTTATTAAATATAAACATTTATTCATCCAATTCGTGAATTAATACAAATACCAGTAAATTTGTTATCCACACCGCTCATCATCATCTTATGCTTCAATTATCTGTAACACATACAAACCATATTTTAGTTGCAAATTAACGCAGAACTTAAAATAAAAATAGAAATCATAATTTTCATACAAACATTATGTACAGCTCACTTAATTCCTTCCGTTGTACACTCTGTCAGATCGTAGTATATTTTAACTGGCAAATTTCAATATAGCTGTCAAAGTTTATCGTATTTCCTGTAATACTTGTACGATTCTTCTTGTGGTATTTTAATAATTACTACCAGATATCCTTCACTCAGATAAAATACTAGAATTTCACAGCGGCAGCTCCTATTTTGGAGAGTACCAAAATACTGTTGCTTCGTTAGCAAATTATTTGCTTAATGAAACAAGCAAATCATCCCTTCGTTTCCTCTTATTGGAATGACTGTCGCTGCTTATATCAATCAAAGACTGTGGAAACAGAAAACACACAAGAATTTACAACGATAGTACACATACTTTAAGCGCACACAACTACTTATCATATAATGGTAAACACTATCTACTTTTAATTGTGGATTTTACTTACTCTTTTATTGATGATGTTATATGCTCCTCTTCTTGATGTGAAATATAATAAAATATGTCGCACTGCTAATACTACTATTATAGTTTTACCGCGTGCACACACGTATTACAACGCAACATTACTGTTTCTTGTGCATTATTTCTTGCAGTATCTGGTGAAATTTTTTTCTTCTGTCTTAATAATTTACATCCAGCTATTCCTCACTGTAACCTATATCTGTCAAACGATATACACAAGTATTTCTTATGGCGGCCGATGAGCCTGCCGACTGATTCCGAGAATCGACGAATCGACGAACGGCCTTGTCTCCTATTGGCTAAGTGTTGACGAAAAATCGACTGGAAAAGTATAAGACGGTGTGTACCGATTTGATTGGTTTTGGTTTTATTCGAGAGCTTATATGCGATTTACATCAGAAAAAATGCGTTTAAATTTAGAAAATTTTGCAGGCGTGATGAGATATTAATGAAAGAAGTTTCAAGTTAGATTAGAACTACCGTCTCTCTAACCGCGTCTCTAGATATCGGCTGCTCTGCCCGCCGCCCTCGGGGGGTTGGAGTCGCGGCCGAGGAGGAACGAGAAGTCGAGGTGCGAAAGCGCCAGGACCGGCAGGATATGCTAGTCAGATGGAAGCAGGAGCTTGCTCCATCGGGCTGTTCAATTTTCAGAGCCATCCTGTCCATATTTGAAGAATGGTGCAGGATGCGGGGCAGGCTGACGTTCCGCCTTACGAAGGTGCTCTCCGGGCATGGATATGGACACGGCGCGGCACACGCTTGAGGAGTGCGCTGCGTGGGCGTGCCCTCAGAGCCACACTAAGCGGGTGGGACCTCTCGCTCGCGACCATGGTCGATCACATGATCTCGAGCGAGAGGTCGTGGAAGACGGCTGCCTCTTTCTGCGAGGAGGTTATCTCGCAGAAGGAGACTGTCAAGAACTCGAACAGACGGATCTGGCAGCAGGGACGTTTCTCGCACCAGCGCGTCCCCTCATCGCGTGAGGGGGCAAGGTTTGGTAGGATGGGGAGGACGCCCACGCAACGACTTTTTCCCCTGAGGGGCGCGGCGAATGTGGTGGGGCTGGGGTGCGAGCTGACCCTGGGCCTCGGAGGGAAACAGTTTCCCCCCGGGACGGCCGTCCTCGAGGGATCGGCCCGTTCCTACTAAGACCACCGAGTCCTTTGGGGGCGTATGGAGGGTGAGGTGGGGAGGGTCGGGGCGTGCCGGATTACACCTTCGACGACTCTCCCTTACCAGTGTCGGCGTCTTCTGGTTCTGACCGTGTGGCGTCCTTTGACCGGAACGGACCGGACACGAAGACTCCGGGGGCCATGGGTGAACCGAGCGGAGGCTCGGGAAACTCATTTCGACGGCCCCAGTGACGGGGACACCGGGCGGGTCCCTCCGTAGGCATAGAGTAGGCAGTGGGGGAGGCTAACCCGTCTTCATGGGATTCATGTAAGCTGGAAAGTGTCCTGTTGAGTACTCGCATGATCCAGGCACTTCCCAAGTAGCCTCTGGCGCTCCCCTTTCCGATGGTAGTGGCGAGGAGGAAGACTCGGCGCAGCACACGTTGGAGGAGTATTCCGCCAAATGGGGCACGACGACGATGACGAAAAGGTCTCGCTGTCGGGCCCCCGGGATAATGACGGTAGCTGGCGGCGAGGGCGATTGAAGACAACCTCCGCTGCCAGCGAATCAGTCGAAGTAAAAGAGTGACGGGAGAGGGGGGACAGCACGTCAAATAGCCTTCCCCCTTGGCGGTTGCGGTGCCCAGGGTGGTGGTCCTGGGTTACCAGTACAAAGCGGCCGCCGAGACGTAGCGGTGCGGGGCGCGGCCTCCATGCACCACGAAGTGTTCTATAAAGAGTTCCTGTGATTCATCCGGAACACCAGTTACAGGAAGAGTGTCCGAAGGTTGCCATGGAGGTTATAGCGGGTCGAATCCCGCACTACCCGTCTGTCGCTCCCCCAAGCTCAGGTGTTTGGTTAGCAGATTTCCTTCACGTAAATAAAAAAAAAAAAAAAGTAGTAGGTGGTATACGTAGTAGGACGTATTAGTAGAGGCTGTCTAGTCCATCGGACTAGTCCGTCGCTTCTGTGATTGCTCGCCATTGCGCTTAGTAGGGTCCGCTCAACAGTGGTGAATCTAGTGGTTTCTAGAAATATGGATGAGACAAATTGTATATTTTTTTCACTGAAATTTGACAAATTTCGATCATATTTTTTACATCGAGTGACACAATAAAACATGTCTTTTTCCTCGAACTTTCGTATATAAACAATATCATCGATTGCAATACTACGTTGCATCGTATATCATTGTTCGCTGGAACAATACAAAATGTTCAGCATATAACGAATGTTTACAACAATGTTTTATAGATTTATAAAAGGTTTAACAACTAACTTTTATATTCACATATAATATTTTTTATATTTTCAAACGAATAAGACATTCTTAAAATTATGATCTGAAAAATACATTATGAATCACGCAATAATGTACAAGGCAGCGTGGCATTTTCTTCAAAGTTATTGTATTGACACGATTTACTAATATAAATAAGAAATGAAGAGCCAATTTCATAAAGATAGTACAGTAATGTCTCCATAAATGCACAAATGTGTCTATGATAAATGCACACTAACCAGCCCCATCACTGAGGGGGGGGGGGGTAGGTATACCTCTTGAGAGGTCACAGAGTTCGATCGCCGAGGAGTGTAACGTGATCCGGGACGGGGTATACTCCTTAAGGGTCAAAGAGTTCGATCGCCGAGTAGTGTAAACATGGTCTGGGATTGGATCACTCGGTAAGGCAATTTAATCCAACGGTGAAACTTTTTTTATAATTAATTTTTTTGTTATAAAACTTTTAACGCCATATTTCTGGTCTTTTTCAGATTAAAATGAGATCAAACCCTACGTAATTCACAACATATTAACTTGTAACAACTTGTGTATTATGTATCATATAGTGTAGGATACTAACTAAAAAAAGATGCATGGTAAATATTATCCGATTTATGTCGTGTTTGGTCTCTTTTTTAATCAGAAAAATGCCAAGAATATGATGGCAAAAGTTTTACATCAAAAAAGCTAATAATAAAAATATTTCACCGTTGCATTAAATTGTCTTCCCGACATACTCTGGTGTTTTCGCTCCGTCCTTTTCTTTATTCGCTGTCCTCTACGTTCAAAGCTCGTCGGTAAACATCAAAGAATATACGAACTCTATGATAACTGCAGGTCAGTCCCGAGCTTGTGCAGTTATGGAGACATTGTTGTATACATACGTATAATACTAATAACGAAGTCGTACGTAACCTATTACTAATTCTCGTGTAAAGGTGCCTCTAGGTCTTTTGGATCAGATTTGCAAGAATTTGACCACTACTCGTCACATAATACTTCAACTTTAGAGGGCTAACCTTTTTCAACAAAATCTTGTAAATTTTATACCAGAAGCTTAATAAAAATTAAAACTTGAAGCAAGTATCTTTTCTCTAATCTACTGATTACGATCTACTGATACCCAAACCAACGTTTATGTTAGAGTATTCATTGTCAACGTAATATTAGGAAAGATACACGCATTCGCTCCCATTCAAATACAAAATTAAGATAGAAATTGATGTTTCTGCTCACTAGTAAGTAACAAACTTCCGAACTTCGCAATTCATTATCATTGCTACTTGACACTTTTTGACATCATGTCGTTTCTACGAAATTGGCTCTTGCAAGTAGCGATTTTATATAAATAAATAATATGCATATCTGTCCCTACTATTAAATAATAATAGTTGGCTACTTAATCAAAACCATATGTTGCGTAAAAAAATACCATTGTCACCTATTATTGACGCACTTGATGGCACGATTACTAGAAGAAAAATCATAAATTAATCTTAATATATCTCACCAATATTTGATTTCTCAGAAATATTGTAAAATTGTTTAAACTACAATAATCTTTCGACTGTATCATAATAAATAAGAAAACATTTATATAACCAAAAAACGCCAAACTTATTTCTTTTCATCGTGGTATTTACAAATTAAATAATCGTTTTTAGTTTTGGTATGCTTTTCGTACTTTGAAAGCCTCTAACTTAAGTTCTCTCCGAGAATTTCAATAATGTTAACATTATTTTGAGCTACAAATGATTATTCCTTTTTGATGAAAGTAATCCTTAAATGATTAAATTTGAAATTATATGCATTTAAAAAATTTAACAAACGGAAGTTTACTGTCTTACTACGTAAAATTATGTTAATATAACAAAATTTTATTTACCTTGTAAAAACTTGATTTATGTTAAATATGTCACAAATATTGTAACATTATAAAATTCGAATTTTGCGCGAATTTAGTTCTTATTTATCGTACATCAAAAGAAACTTCCTTTTGGAATCTTTGCTAGATACGTAACATAAGATGTTACATCATCAAGCGCGTTAAGGTACTATACGTTCTCTTAATCAATAAGTATTTTAATTTTTATAAATAGAATACAAAAAGCTAAAGATTATTAACGGAAATGATTTGGTTAATCCAACCAATAAACGCCGAAACTTTGACGTAAACGCCAGGAACATCCAGTCTTCCGCAACCAAATCCCCATGAAACAAGACCAGCCAATTCGTAGAATCCATCATCTTGACATACTAGAGGACCTCCTCCGTCACCCTAAATATTAAAATTTCATAACTACGCAATTTTTACTGGAATTTGTTGAAATAGTACAAAAATAATACAAATATATTATTATTATATTACTAATTTTTACTACTAGTTTATATGCTACTGTTGAATAGATATAGCACATAATTCATAGTACTAATTACTGATATAGTTAATAAATAATAATACTGATATTAAATGCTATCATATAATATGAGTACAGTATTGTCTCGAAATAAGCAACTGTTTTCCGCCTCGAAATAAGCTATCCCCACCTTTTTGTTTGAAGTCGTTTGCCGAGTGAGAGATCCGAAAAGAAATGAGAGGTCCGTGAAAGCGAGAAGCCGAACAGATTAGTGAAAAGAGCACAGAACATGTGTAATATTTTCTCTTTCTCTGGCGTGTGTATTCTCCGAAACAATACTATTATGTATGTAGTTTGCCGCTACACCGAACCCTGTTTTTTCTACGGGTTCCCCCCTCATCTCGGTCGAGAACAAAGTCAAGCCGAATAGTATATAGTCGCTTGCTGCTGAGTTGGCGCGCGGAAGGTCGACACCCCTACCTACACGCATCTTCGGTATTGGCCAGGTGAAAATACATATTTTTGGTATTGGCCTAGGCTAACACTACCGCGAGACGAAGATCGTGAACAAGATAGAGTGAGAGGGCAATAGTAATCATTGGCGTAAGGTTAACCCTCGAACACCGGACGCCCGCACGATCGACGGAGCCAGTCACTATTCAGGTATCAGAAAACGCCTATGCAGTGTGACTGCTCGAAAAAAAGGGGGAAGTTTAGGCGGACCGAACGTCCCTTTCTCTAGAGGACCGAGCGATCCCCTGTCCCCTCAGTACCCCTCTAGTTTGGTGATCGCGCGCCAACCGATCAGCAAGCGACTATACCTCTCTCGAAATAAGCAACTCACCGGTCCCGACCGAGTTCATTATTTCGAGACAATACTATATTATATTTACCTGGTACATATAATATGGGTATTATATTCACCTGGCATGCATCGTTGCCTTGTTCGCCACCAGCGCAAAAACTACTTGCTGGTAAAATGAAGATCTTTTCGGTCACAGCATTCACTTTTCTTATACATTCAGCATCGCTCACGATTGGTATTTCAGCTTCGCGTACTCTGAGAGGGATTGGACCAGCTATACACGCGTATATAAAATCATATATTGAATTAGTATATATACAAAAGAAATTTAGTTTACTGTTATAATCGTCTTAAAAAACCATACCATTCATCAATTAGTCAAGAATCAAATTACACGTGTTATCTTGAAATTGATTGTAGATAGTTACGAAAAAATTAATTTTTAGAGTTATGCAAAAGTTTACCTTCTCCCATATATCCGTAACCGGTAACAGTACATCGTTTGCCAGCTGTATGACTAACTCCTCGTGCAGGTAAACATACAAGACAAACACCGTCTTTAAGCTCTGCTTGACCATGAAGTTTTAATAGTGCGATATCGTTATCTAAAGTTTGGCTGTTATGATTGTGGTGAATATAAGTTGTTGCCACTCGTAAAGTCTGAGCACCAGGACTTCCATATTTTCTAGTTAAGTCATGATCGCCAACCCTCACGTAAATCGCATCTCCAGACCTCACGATACTGTACATAAAAATATCACAATGTCACCATAAGAGTTCTCACTTTTCTCATAATTTATAATTTTATCTTTCGTTTCAATAATATACGCGAATATGTCATTACTCTGTCTGCAACTACACGTCCACAACCCAATTATTATTATATGTATACCGTGTCGTATTAGAAGCTCCACAACTTTGTAAAGAAACTAATAAAGCTAATATTTTAGTTATACGAAATCTTACTTTGTAACGCAGTGTGCTGCTGTAAGAACCCATTGTGTTCCGATGAGTGCACCTCCACAAAGATATTGGTTGAGGGAATTAATTAAAGCAACTTGCCAACACCATTCGTTCGCATCTGCATCTTCTCCGCCAACAACGCGTGCTCCTCTGTCCAAGCTACGAGTTTGAATTGGTCCACGAGAAGTTCCTTTTACGCCACATACATACTTACTGTACACAGGACTTCTCATGGTTGTTGTCATTGTAGTTATTTCATCTATAAAATCAACGATTCCTTTCTATTCTATCTTCGTTTTGAATATTTACCGACTCAATACAAAATAATGTAAAGTATAATTATTAGTATGATACAGTGTAAATAAAAGATGTATCAATGTATTTTGTATCTTACATATTGTTGTTGTGAGTGGCGTTGTGTACGGTCTCGATGTGACATACATAGTATCATTTCTGTTAGTTAAAATTGGCTCGCTCGAATTTCCACCGCTAAATTCTCGGATCAATGATTTTGGTGCACAACACTGATGTCCTTGTTTCTTGCATTTGAACAAATTCGTCAGTTCAGCATTTCCTACAAGTAAATCATTGCAAAATATTTCTCACACCTGGAACAACTTTTTCCAACCATCTACAGTTACAAAATGAAAATGAAATAAATGATTTACAGGTAGAAAACAAAATACTCGATAATATAGTAATACGTAATAACCAATTAATTTTCTATTAAACTGTATACATAGAAAAAAAATAGCTAAATTAGAAAACAGTAAATATAAAACGAATAAATACTTACTGAAACAAGTGAAAGATAAGTAAGAAACGATGCAGGAACCAGGACACTCTGGGCGAGGATCTGGTGGTAAAGAAACCGTGGTAATCGATGGCCTTGGTGTGGACTTTGGTCTTGGCCTTGGAGTCTGATACGAAGAAGATGGTGTCACTACGCTTACTCTCTATATGCCAATAATTGATTTCAGTCTTTCTTTTTTTTACATAGATTACCCATTATCTTACTTGCCTTAATTTATTCGTTCCCTTGAAAAGGTTCTACTGAAAACAATAAATAGAATCACCTGCGGTGAACTTTTCGTGTTGTCACAACAGATGGATCCAGATTGACAGGTTGTTGTTTTTGGTATTATCAGGTTTGGCCGTTCACAAAAGGCTGCCATAATGGTTAACAAACAAAATCCAGGACATGGTTGTAATGTTGGCTGTGGTGATTTCGTAGTCGGTCGAACTGTTGTCGTTTCCTAATTGAATTGTAATAATTAATACTTCAATGTTCACAAAAAAATTTAACTACCCTTACAATTATAATATATTATTTAATTTTCCAAATATTCCTTTCAGTAAACAAATAATAATTCAAGTAATTCAAATTATTACCGTTTTCAAAAAAGCATCGATGATACAACACGATCCATCATCAGGACATTCAGCTTCTCCATCCACCTTGTCACAAAGAAGCGCAAAGAATCCACTAACGCATTCGCCTTTACATGGTTTCTTGACTGTAATCTTTGGTCGCGTCGTGGTCGTTGGTTGTTTTGCCATTGTACCAGTTGTAGCTGGTGTAGTCGTAACCATGCTCGTAGAGATGGACGAATTTGGCTTCGCAGTTGTAGGAGATAGAGGACCTTTATACAATGTACTGACACCAGTTTTCTCATCCACGCGACTTGAATTTGTTCTGTCAATTACTAACAATTCTGGCGGAGGAGTATCTCCAAACGCATCCCTAGATACGCAACACTTATATCCTGGCTTGCACAGAGAGTCTATCACCAGAACAGCATCACAGTAATCGGCAATTCTCTCAGCCATGCAAATCCCTGAACAGGTTTTTGCTGTAAAAAATAATTTCTCATTCGACAAATGTTTATCAGATAGAAATTGAACATTTTTCGTTTCTTCATTAACAACTAATGGAATGAAACAATTGCCTACTTTCAAACTTTCTACTTATTCTCCACATTCAGAAAATAATATATTCTAATATCTAAGCAAACAATCTTATACTTGATTAAAATTAGCTATCATTGCATAATGTTTTTTTTGTAAAATGTGTTTTATCTCGTTTGCGTATTTAAACCTACTATTATCCATTACAAAGATAATAAACATGCTATATGGAAGAAAAGGTACATACTCGAATTCTTGTCGGTTGTTTCCATCTGATTACCCTGAAAAACAAAACATACTTGAATGTCTATATGGTTGCGAGCGACAGTACAGCTCATTGCTGGTTAGTTGGCTCGCGGCAGGTCGGCACCCCCCTCCCCCCCGCACGCATCTTTGTGTATTCGTGGTATTGGCCAGGTCAAAATAAGCATTTTCGGTATTGGCCTAGACAAACGCTGCCGTGCGACAAAGGCCGCGAACAAGATAGAGCGAGAGAGCAATAGAAACCATTGGCGTAACGTTAACCCTCGGGCACCGGACGTCTCGAGACTGCGGACAACGAGACAGTCGTTGAAAACGGATAGAAGAAAGAAAGTAGTGGACCTTACGCCTATGCAGCGCGGCTACTCGAAAAAATGGGGGAACCTGGTGTGGTTTAGGCGGACCGAGCGTCCCTCTCTCTAGAGGACCGAAGATGCGTGCGGTTGGGGATGCCGCAAGCCAACTAACCAGCAATGAGCTGTACGTGGAAGGCGGTGGTCTCCTTTTGCGAGGTACAGGGTGATCCGCTTGCTAGTAGACACAATGGACAACCACAACAATGACGGTTGGGTAACAATGACGGTTGGGTATTGTTGTGGTTGTCCATTGTGTCTATTAGCGAGCGGATCACCCTGTAGTAATGATGCAGAAGGAGACCGCCAGCAAGGAGGGTGTGGGCGTGGGGACGCCCCTCGCATCGATGCCTGCCCCTGCGGAGAAGAGCAGCAGGGGTTGAGCGGCTGCGGGGGACTTCCCCGCCAATGCCGCCAAGACTCCGGCCACTGGAGGGGAGTTAAACTACATCATGATAAACAAAAATTTGTATTTTTTTTTATGAAAAATACTCTTGTGCTATGGATCAACTACTTGTACAGAATGTTTCAAAACGTGTTATATTTCCAAATTTCCTAACTTTCTTTCCAAGTACAGATTTTCAAACAATATTCCTGTCTGTGTACAACATTTGTATTCATAATAAGGAAAATAAACTAGGAATGAAATGAATTGCTTATTCGTTTTCAGACTGATTGTGATTCAAAATTATTGTAGCTTTTTTTTATATGTATTGGCTTTTGAAATATTAGAAACATTTTTATTCGCTATGCGAGAATACTCTTTAAATTAATAACTATTGTCTTGTAAGCATACAGAGGTAGTCTTTGTAGCAATTGACGAAGCAGTCGTAGGTGGTGTAATCGTTGAGGATGTGGTCGTGTTTACAGGTCCCATCGTCGACGTCTTCACGGTGGTAATTATAGTTGGTGTCTGACTATCGTCATCGAGAACGTTTTCAGAAGACGTTGAGGTACCATTTATAGGTGCTTCGATGCAACATCTCATGCTGGTAGGGCATTGTACATGCTCGAGAACTTCGTAACATATTAATGTTGCAAACGCGTGGACACATACCCCTGGACAATCTGCACTGTTGGCTGTACTTGTTATGGAGTCTAATAAACCTGTGCAAACAGGAGAAACTTTATTTGAGTAAATTAATTAATGATCATTGAATATTTTGGTTCAATAACAAGTCATAGGAAAATTAAAATTTAGGAATCGGAAAATTTGTTATATGAAGTCAATTGTACATTTTAAATAATACAAGGTGAGTGTAGTACGATTGTTAAATTCCTATGATCAATTATTAGTATAATGATAGAAAGAAATCTTTTTTTCTTTCTACTACCTACTTAATTTCCAGTTTATTACTTCACGTTTTTTTTTCTTATAACGATCAAGGCGAAAGGGATAAAAGTTTATGAACATCCAAGAGGGAAAATATAATTTTAAAAAATTGCATTGTATACATTGTAGGTGAGTTAATAACTCATTAAAAACTTCAAAAAAGTAACAAAATTACGCCAAGTACATGAAAAAGTGGAAGACTCAAGGAGTTATTATTGAAAAATAGAATAGAATAGAATAGAAGATCCCCATAAAAAACTACAAGAAAGTAGAAAAAGATGTGAAATCAAAATGAGCTGCCAGTACATGGAGGTGGTTTTCAACACAGTGCAATGACTACGCTGTGTAACACAATGTAAAATTCGGTGCTTTCCAACTATGCGCAGCTAAAATGCTGTGCTTGGCGTGGCAAGGCAAGGCATTCTTAGATCAACAATACCCATACTTTCTCTCTCACAGACTTTCAGATAATTTGTCAATTTAAAACTCTGACAATATTATGAGTACCCTTTCATTATATTGCGTTTTAAAATATTTCCAAGATCATTCATCGATGCCGATACCTTTACTCTCGCAAGCTTTCAGATAGTTTGTCAGCCAAAAACTCTGACAATATGTGTATACTTTTATTATTTAGCGTTTTAAAATAATTCTTATTCATCGACACCTTGACCTTGCCTGGCCACGCCAAGCACAGCATTTTAGCTGCGCATAGTTGGAAAGCACCGAATTTTACATTGTGTTACACAGCGTAGTCATTGCACTGTGTTGGAAACCACCTCCATGTACTGGCAGCTCATTTCGATTTCATATCTTTTTCTACTTTCTTGTAGTTTTTTATGGGGATCTTCTATTTTTCAATGATAACTTCTTGAGTCCTCCACTTTTTCATGTACTTAGTCTCCTTAACAAAGCCTCGGAAAACATTTTCCCTAAGGAAAAAGTTGTTTCAAATCACCTCCCGAACCACCCCTTTCAAGGTGTTACAATATTTTTGGGACACCCTGTACTGTGTTAAAAGCTGATTCAAATCGGTGACCCCCAGTTCGCGGCCTCCCCTTGTAAGATCTATCGCACCAGAAGATGGAAGACTATATTACTTAGGAATGTTGATTCGCCGAATGAACGAAGGGATACTTGTTACACAACAAAGGTACGCTCGAAAAGTACTGGCTCGATTTGGTTTTGAGGATGTACACGCGGTTGTGACATCCATGGAGCCTGGAATGTTAACTGACAAGAATGGAAGTCAATTGGAAGTCTACTTCATCTATCAACAATTTCGAGGCCAAATATTAGTTTTGCAACAAACTATTTGATTCGAAGAGTCAGTCAACGAAATGTAAGTGGCTGGAAAATGATTGAACGTATACTTCGATATTTGAGAGGGACTGAGGAATTTGGAATCTTCATTGTCGGAGAAACGACGAGTTTGAAGGCATATACCGACTCTGATTATGGTGGAACAGAAGAAGATAGGATTTTCACGACTGGCATTTTAATTGAGTTTGGAGGCCCAATTGTCTGGAATACCCAAAAACAATCAGTCACTTAAATTTCATCAGCCGAAGCTGAATATCGTGGTGGCACAAATGGAATACAGGAAGTCTGTTGGTTGAGAAGAATGATCAAAGAACTTGAAATTGGGGACGTGTCTGACCCAACTGATTTGTATGTCGACAATAAAGCTGCAATTCACATACTGGAGAATCCTGAAGGAAAACTGACAAAAGGAAAAAAGCACATTGAAATAAGACGGAAATTTATAAACCAACGCATTGAGAGAACCATACGTCTCATTTACTTAAATACAAGAGAGTAAATTGCTAACATTTTCACGAAAGCGTTGGACGAGAAGCAATTTGAAAAACTGCGTCAGAGACTGCTTAATATCTGATTTTTCTTTTGTTTTATCGAATGGTACCAATGATGTTTTTTTTGTTTCCTACGCCCAGAGGAGCGTGTGGTTGTTTTGTAAGATGTGAGCTATTGGCAAATTAAACAATGTACTTTATATTAATAAAAAAAAGCTGTTCTTTATTCAACCACGGAATCATAACAAAATTTCATTAAGCAAGAACAGGAACTTAAAATATGTATAAATTAAATGCATTTATTAACAATTAAGAAATAAATGTATAATTGCTTGGGAGAAATTAAAATTAATTTTATACCTTTCAAGCATACATAAAAATAAAATTTATGTTATCGTTAATCTTACTGGTACTAGAATAATAATTACCTAAATTTTGCTAATATATCTAATTATCACAAAATATGTAATATATAACTTTGTTAAATTAATTTTAAGTCCAGCTTTGCATTATCTTTAAGTGAATTTTTAAGTAACCAGAACCATGCACAAGCAACTAGATTATTTTTATAGTTATTAGGTATATGTATATCTTTGTAATATTTTGTTTTTCTGGAATAAATAAATAAATAAAAAGCAAAATCCATCCAAAGAGTAGGGAAAGTTCTACATACCAACAAACCACTTCTCTCCTCATCATTTATTGAGGGAATCCCCAAACTTTGTCTAAATCTGGAGACCTCTTAATTCAGGCCTAAATGCAGAACATTCGTACAAATGATAACGTAGATTCTACAGTCTTCATTTTGGCAGGCATAACGGCCCAAACAAACATAACGGTAGTTAATTAAACAGCTCGACTCCACCGCATAGCTCTCTTCGGTAATACTATACGTGCCTCTTCTAACATAATCGCGTTAGGAAGATATACATCTATACATTCAACAGTGTTTTGCAACATGAAATAATCTATAAACGTTAAACTCTTTATCGACTGAAATTACTTAATTATACTGAACAGATTAAACATCTTCATTGGGTCCAATTGAATGAAATGTTTCAGACTTGAGAAATTCTGAAAATGTTTCCTTCAATTGTTGGATAACGCCGGTGTCAGTGTTACACTACTCTATTAATTATCACCTAAGCGATCTTTCAGTTTAACGAACTTCTTCCATTCTTTCATTTCAGCATGAAAAATTTCTCGAGGATGTTACGTGCGCATTAATGGCCTCTAAGTAACAGTTTTACAGTTTATGTATAATGTACTATTAACATTGTGTAGCATTTTAAAATTAGCATACAAATTTAGATATTGCAATGAACTTTCAATAAAGTTTAATTTGAGAAATAATCGAAATTTTCGAAGAATATGGGTTAATGCCATGATTCACTTTCCATAATAAGTAAATGTTTGTAATGAGATTCCCAATTAGAATAATTAAATATATAAAAAGGAACAAGTAATTGACATACTAGTGCACCTATCCAATTCATTATAATAATAATAATAAAACTGTTTCTATAACCGACATCGTTACTGCTCGTACTACATTGTAGGCCTCTTAAAATTTCCGTTTCCTTGGTAAAACATAAAAAAGGATGCAATAGGAATTAGATTTGATTAAATCAGATATGCTATAACTTCAATGTGTAAAAGATCGAATCCTTTTAAAATGGATATGTAAATTAAAATATTTGCAGTGTCTGCCACATTATTGAGTTGAATAGTGCAAAATAAATTACATTAAAAATTGTAACGTTTATTAACCTCTTTAAGAGATACTATGTATATTTAGTTTTCAAGATACTTTAAATACTACAGTATAATAGTGACTATTAAAATTACGAATAAAAGATAACTTCTATTTAACAATTTATTGTATTTTACTGTACTTCTTTTTTACAGTTTGAATTTATCTTACTGTTTGCATAAGAAATCTCTGATCATGGTAATGAAATGTTCAAGCATAATTGACAAAACTTAAATTAGTGTTCCTTATAAAATCAATTTCACGTAAAACAATTTCTACTTTTTACGTTACTTTGATATTCAGACACTCAGATATATAGAACTTGAGGAAAACTGTAATATAAATGATTTATGTATAAATATACATAAAACACTTAAACAGTCTTTAACAACTGCTTTTATAAATATTTGAAGTCATATTTATTAATTGATATGCTACTCCACTCTCAATTTTCAAAGAGACAGTCAGACCTATAAGTATTCATACCCTCTATGTCTACTGAAAAAACTTATCTAAATTAAATGATAGGTTTATATTTCTAAATAAATGTTTCATTACAAATATGTACATGTGTAAAGTTTATTCATGACATATTTATAATGAAACATTTATTTAGAAACGTCAAATCTATCATTTACTTTAGACTTTTCTCAATAGACATAGAGGTATACGAATACTTATGAAACTAACTGTATATAGCGCAAGAGTGCATTAGGTAAGCATTGGTAGTTGTACTGTTAAAAGCTCTTTATCATAGACAAAGTTCAAATTGCAAACTGTTCGTGTATATTAGGTGTAGCAACTAATTCTGTGCCTTCATATTCAATCATTTAATATTTATGTATTATTTATATTTTATTTTCGTAACTCTAGTTTGAGTCCAAATATTTACTCTGTGTTTTGTTACGTTAAAGTACCAACCTTCTAAGTTCTCGATCTGATAACCTAAGTTCCTTTCTTTTTATTATTATAGAGCCCATTGCATTCAGCTATAATACTTATTAATACATCTTTGTTACATTGTTTTACATAGCCCTATTGCATTACAATGCTTTATATTATTCCTTGACTTCTTGTATTCCATTCCTTTAACATGTAGTCAGTTACATTACATTGATTTACATCAATCCTTAGCTTCTTACATTATAATGTTTAACTTCTTGCATTCCATTCCTTTACATGTCTGTTGAACCTTCCTATAGCTGGGTACCTCGAGACCGCTAAATCTGTACTCTAGCTGCACACGCGTATGCTGCAGCCCCCGAGGGCAACCTAAATCTAAATATATTACGCTGCACGTAATGTCCATCAGGTTGAGACTTAGGTTATGTGTTAGAGACGTGTGTAAACGTCTGTAAATAGATACATCATAATAGAGATCAGGTTGAGGATTTAGAATGTTGGTACATACTTTATCAAAATGACGAGTCGAGCATAGAGGCACAAAATTGATTTTGCTATATACAGGGTGTTCCAAAAATGTTGTAACACCTTGAAAGAGGTGGTTCGGGAGGTGATTTGAAACAACTTTTTCCTTAGCAAAAATGTTGTCAGAGGCTTCGTTGAGGAGATATTAACGGAAAACACTGACCAATCAGAACGCGAGTAAGCCGGTGAAGCGGCCGCAGTAGCGTATGAGCGCGGCCGCTTAGTGCATAGCCTTCGCTCCACCGGCATACTCGCGCTCTGATTGGTCAGTGTTTTCCGTTAATATCTCCTCAACGAAGCCTCGGACATTTTCGCAAAGGAAAAAGTTGTTTCAAATCACCCCCCAAATCACCCCTTTCAAGATGTTACAACATTTTTTAGACACCCTGTATACGTACAGCACAATGTGCGCTGTTTTTCTTATTTCTTTGATCATACGCCGTGAGCTACTATTACTACATAGTTATACGTACGTGTATCATTGCGCACACTTCTTAGCTTTACCTTCTCACCAACAGTGGATCGAACGTTATCCGTACTGCGCGTGCGACTGCTAAGTAAGTGGGACAGTCGCATCCTTCCAGATACTACCTATACCCAGCGTAACATTTACAAACGCGAGTTTCTACTTTTTGAAACCTCTGGTAGCACGAGCTGATTTTATTTCTATTAGCCTCTGCAAACCGTTCACAACTTTGAACAATGAATTGTTGTAATGGTGGATTTTCTACGAATTCTTTGTGTGGTCATCTTTGTACGCGCCTAGGTGCGCGCGCGCGCATGTGTGTGTGTGAGAGAGAGATAAGGGTGACACAGAACAGTGGAAACAATCGACTGCGTGAATCGATAATATGCACAGAGAAATTCTTGATCTGCTTGAGCCGAAAAATACACAGTGCTTGAGCTTGTAGAAACTACAACAATTGATTCACTTTTATTCACGCAAAATCCAATCTGTACATTCACGCGACCACAATCGAAGAAAAATCATCACGCAACCGTAGAATTCCTAGCCGAGAAGTAACTGTACGCAGAACGAGGTCGGAATTAACCCAGAATTAATCTTTCACGTTTATCGGAATTGTATAATACTTACATGGCATTAGCGAAAGAAAGCAAATCGGGTTGAGGTGAAAAATTTTGTTGGATTAGTTTCAGAAGCGGGAAAAATAGTAATACGGTAGGTAATTGAGAAAAGGTTAGTCTGAATGATCAAAAAACAAACTTTAACTTAATTAAATGACAAAGATGTGGAAATTGTTTAAAAATCTATTTTTCGCTATTAATTCTTAATAGCTGATCACAGTTATATTTGCATTTATACAGTTATATGATTACTTTGTATACGAAAGATACGAGGCAAGCGACGTTCATTTATACGCATAGGTATTCAAAAACAGAAATCAACATAAAAATCGACGTGCCATAACAAAAGAGGGTCCCACTTTCATTGATTAGACATTAATGATCGCATAATTTGTGCATTTTACTTGTTGTTTCATTCACATATAATTAACGCTAAACCTATCGACATTTTATTTATACCTATTTCCGGAATCGATCAAGTGGCTGTTCTTAAAGTCACTTTTTGGTATTAAATTGAAAAAGATATAATTGCATATAATTTATATATTTTATATAAGAACTACACAGAAAAGTTTACAAACGATCGTGGTAGGTTTAGTGTTAATCTACCAATTATTATCATAAAGAAAATGTTCACTTAAAGAAGAAATTAAAACCCCAGAAAAATTGGTGAAAATGCAAAAGAAAACGCAAAGTAACAGTATAAAATAGACATTGATGCCTGATAATGGTAAGAACTGATTTACCTGACAAGAAGCTTCCAGCCAAAGAATCGTCATCCTGGGCAGTGATGGATCGCGTAAGTAGGAGAAAAAAGATGATGCCCCTCGGGGCTGTTCTCAGTATCATCTTCAACCTCCCTCGTTCTTAAACTTTCTCTGTCTCTCTTGCTGTTCTTCAATTCCAAAGAGGCGACCGCAAAAACAGCTGAAGGGAGACACTGTCGTTATCCGGTTCGAACACGTGCGTGTCAAACTACTTTACCGCAAGTTCGGCAGCCACGGTATTATGCGAGCCCGCATTGCCTGCTTGGCTTGTTTGACTGACTGACTAACTGGGGAGGTACCGGGGCCCACTTGTGGGTCAGGGTGTGGGTCCCCTCTTTTACACTGGTCAGAAAAAGGAGAGAAAAGAACGAGTAGCCGGAGAAGCAGAGAGAACGATCGACGAAGACCGACCTCACTGACGAGGATTATTTAGAAAGAGGGGAAGGGGTGTTGGCATGAATACCCGATACCTTTGAAAATCTATATCTTTAAGCTATTATGAAGACTTTTCATTTTTATTACTCTAACAATAACATCAAAAATAACATCAAACTCAAGCAAGATTTGAATGAATTTTTATGCTTTCGATGTGAAAATTTTATTTTATGAATGATATATCGAAAGTTATTTATCTTTTGTTCGTTACTCGAGATTCGTATATAGACAAGAACATTGTCGATTTCTGTTTAAGATTATAAACAATTAATGGAGGAAACTAATTCTTTTCGACTGAAAGAAAATTACGCATTACAAAATTTAGTAGTCAATAATTAAACTCCATCAAGTGATACTGATGTAATTTTTAATAAATCTTACTAATCTTAAATAATAAGTCTTATTTACTTAATATTTTGGTTGCTAAACACCAACAATTTGTTACATACAGCTTGTAATTGTATAGTTTTAATAATGCAAGAAATAAAGTCGAACATTCCAAATCTTACTAGTATCGTTAATATACTTTTATTACTATCAGTAAACCGTAATTAAAGTGACTAATATAGTTGTTCTTTCATTACGAGTAATTACTAATTAATTTTCTTAACTTTCTTCGAGTTGTCTATATTCGGTTAGATTACTCTTTTTGGTATCTATTTCTGACTATATTAGAATCTCTTGTTTTTCTCTATATTCTACTATCTTCGTACAGTTCTTCCGCTTTACTTCTCTCTCGCTCTACACCAGTCTTTTTTTTCATTCTCTCTTCCTCACAGCGTACATATAGATGTATATGTTCACGGCTAGCGGTACTTTACCAGTAAATGTACGAGGTACCGTACGATATTTCCCTTTGGAATTTATCGTTCTTTGCGCAACGGTTGATCTCTCGTAATCATAGTACAGAATTAAAATATTCTTTACGTTACAAAATTAAACAAAAATTAAAATATTAGTTTATAATAGTACTATCTACTTGTAAATGTTTTAAGTTTTTTTAAAAAAAGTATGCAAACAAAAATATGTTTTTCTTAAATTAAAATTTGTATCGACTAGTAATAAAGATTATATTCTATTAAAATTATAAATCGTATTATATTTCTCAGTAATATTAATTCACATTGAACTAGTTACAGTAATAAAAAAAACGTAAGTATGTAACTATCGTAGAGGTTAAACAAATATAAAAAATATAAGAACTTATTACAATAAACCTAGATGCGACGGATCGACCAATGTAAATCTTTCTATAGATTCGATTAACCATAAAAGCGGCAACGTTTTTATATGAGGCATATTATATTTTACACGTGGCTCGTCTCTTCCTGGTACGTATATAATATAATAAGTGCACTTGTATAATGGATGAGAAGGTTCATTGGCAGTATGAAAAGGGATAATTTGTTCTTCGCCTTTTATATCGTCTGGACGTGGTTCTCTTGTCAGAACCGACCCATTACCTTCGCGGACAAGTTTCAATAGAGAATCTTTAGTTAGTTGCATGCCACTTACATAGTAAGTGTTCATTGATTGCATAGCAAAGTAAAAGTGGCATTGGTCGAAAAGACCTGGATTCTGAAATCACAATTGAAATAGCTCAAAATAGTATTTAAATTACTTGTATGCTGATTTTATGATTAATTTTACCTGGTTCTGCGCATTTATTCTGGCTTTCTTTGGAACACCTATAATTGGAGTACCACTAATTTCAAATAATTCTAAATCCACGGCTAGTATATCATCCACATCCAAAACTAACTGAATCCCTTTATATACAAAAAATATGTAAAGATTAATTATATAATTTTATTTATACATACAGTGCCGAATTTACGTTTGAGAAGGCCCGAGACTAATAAAGCAGTAGAGGTCCCTTTATGTCAGTGATTGTGTGTGTGTGTGTGTGTGTGTGTGTGTGTGTGTGTCAATTATATATATATATATATATATACATATATATACTAAATGAAAATTAAATTTATTATTAAAATTATTTATTTATATTTAATAAAATAGTCTTTTTCTACATTTTATATTTGCAAAATCAATTATTAAATCGTTAAAATTTTAAAATCTTAGCAAATCATTTTTCTATAAATAAAGAGACCAGAGAGGATAATCTTTCATTTACAATTGTAGATCGATGTAAATCTGTATAGTTTTTGACAGAACATATTCAAATTCTTCGAGGATCGATGTATTATTAAGAGCACGTTACGAATTGCCAAATTATTTTACATGACCACAAAATGTTATCACTGAGGAGTTTTCATACAATTTTACCGAGAAAAATATGAGGTCCCGTTGAAGACGAGCCCGGAGCTATAGCCTCCTTAGTCCTATGGTAAATCCGGTATTGTATACATACTATTATATATATACTAATTGATATACGTTATTTTTTCAATAATCTTACATTCACTATTAAGTATCCATTTTCCACGGAGAAGTGCTACCATTATGTCGTATGATAATTGTACAATATTTTGATTATTTGCTTCCACTACGACATGAGTTACAGTTGACCTAAAATATGATTCTATAATATGGAATTTTCAAATTTTATTACCATAATATCAATTTACATGCATAATGTACTATAAATTATATAGCCTACATTGTAAACAATTATTATGTTGCATTAGTATATTGTAATTAACATACCGAAATACAGATGTAATTTTAATTTTATGTTTTGAAACCATCTGATGTAAATATTTACTATTTTCTTCCCTCAAATTTAGTTCATATACAACAAACGTATTTAACGATGGTGTGGTACAAAATGATTGTTCTAGAGTACTATTTAAGGTAGAATTCACAATTGTTTCAGATGTGTCATTGATCTCGCATCCTTTTGTCAAAAGATTCCACAATTCTTTAAACGACTTGCAGTAGTTCCTGCAGTAGAGAAATATAAAATAACAATCGATAATATTTTAATTGATGACCTAATTATAAGCTAATATTAATTATTTTTTTAATAGAAGCACAATCAGATTGCACATACATAGGTGTATTTCCATGTTTGTCATACACATTCTTTTTAGCAGAATACTGTAAGAGCAACTTTGCTTCTTCTAATCTATTATGTATGGCAGCTTCATGTAATGGTGTTCTATTTTCTGCACCTGGAATATTGGGTGATGTGCCACATGCTAAGAGCAACTGACATATATTCGTGAATCCATAATTTACAACTTCTTGCTACATGGATAAAATGCATGACATAATTAACATATACACAATATTATCAAAATTGCATGTCAAAACTCTAATTGAAAGCAGTTATACTGTAGAACCAATTAAACAACTTACTAAAGGAGTCCAACCATAGTTATCTTTTGTATTAGGATTTGCACCCGCAGCTAACAGTCTTTTTACATGCTCTTCGTTATTCTAAAACATTGTTTGTTCGTCTAATTAAACTGGATTACAGTTTATAGATATTTTATATCTTTTAATTATTTATAGAACTAAATACATATTCGTAAAAGATATACCTTCAGACACGCAGCATGTAATTTTGTCTCTCCTTTTGCATTTGGTTTATTTATGTTTGTTTTTGGTATTCTAAGTGCTTTTTTACTAATAGCTTTAGATTCTGAGTTTAATATTAATGGAGGTATTTGTCTGATGCTTGTAAAATTTGTAGATTTATTCCATAACTCTCTGAAAATATTTATACCAACTTTGCATAGAAAGTAGATATGTAATATATATGTATATGTATATGTATATGTATATGTATATGTATTTGTAATATATTTTCAATATTTAGTACATTTTACAAAATAACATGTACATTATTCAAATTCACTGATAATACTATAAATTATGATTTCTTTCTCTAATATATTTAATACTATAAAACAAATTTCAAACTGCTATTTTATCATAAATAAAGTATCAATAAATCTACCACATCCCATGTATTTATTTATATACTTAAAATGATTTAATATTATGCATAATAAATTATTTACAATAACAAGCAATTTATTGAATATTGAGGTATATGAGGTTCTGAAAGTAACATTCTTTTACATACTTTTCATCTATTATGTCTGCAATGATATTACAGTAAGATGTAAGACTTTTAATCATATGATCGCTATGTACTTCGATTGGTTGCACTGGCATGTTACATATGATACATTCTGACTTACTTCCAATACAATGATCACAAAAAAAGTGACCACAATTGTTGTATCTCATTGTATTTTTTGATTCATTTCCACTGAAATAAAGAATAATATTCTTACTTATATCTTACGAGAATGTTGATTAATTATGAAAAATATACAAATATATTCGAATCAATAGTATATCATAACAGCAATGACAATTGTGTTAATTTAAAAAAAAACAATAAATGGAGATATTATGAATTGTCTTTGAAATATAAAATATGACTATTTTAGTCTTAATTTAAATATTACCACTTGTTGCATACTAGGACATTAGCAAAGTCTTTGAGAGCTTTACGAGTATTCTTCCACAAAGTATTCATTTTTAAATACTACTGCATAATATTACACTGTAACTGAAAAATTGTTTCGTTACTATTTCAATTGTAAGTATTTGTAGAAAATCGAAGAGAAAGATTGTTCTATTGTGAACATACAGGCTCTAGTAGCAAAATGTGTCATATTTAAATATACAGGGTGTCACGTACAAAGCGTAGCAAGCTGATTTCGTAGAAATTAATAAAGTTGTGAAACAAATGGCATAACCAAATTAAATTGAAATCGACATTTGTAATATATTATGAGAAAACTACTTGTTACATATACATAAATATGAAACGAACTGAACTCACAAAATTGAATGTTAAGTCGCGTATTTCATGACTATACTATTTTTATTATATACAGAAATAACTATGCGTTTATATACAGAAAAACTATATACACTTTTTTTAAGATGTTACGCTATCACGTGAATTTAGCTTCATGGCATGTAGCGCCACAACGCGGAATAGCTTAAGGGGATAGACACGGGTAATGCAGCGAAGTGACATTACCGGGAAAAATGGACCTAAAAAGGGGTTCGGGATTTTTCGCTTTTCGTCCTTATATTAGCATATTTTGGACTGAATGAGGACTCATTCAAAAGA